AAAGAAGGGGAAACAGAAGGAGGAAGAGGAAAAAAAACTTGTCTTCTGTCTCCTGTCATTTACTCCTCCGCAATGAAGAACACCGAATGCAAAAAGAAAGAAAAAGAGGAAGAAGATCGGAATTAATTCACAAACAAATACTAAAACACAAAAGATGCAAACTCAACTCACCTAGATCTGTCCCCTCTTTGACAATATGGAGCATCATCGATTTTGAGGCCGATAAAAGAAAAAAACAGAAGGAAGGAGCAGCTTGAGAGTAGAAGGATTTGGAGCCTCACCGAATTTGAAGTGGGAGGCTGCAATTTATTCATCGATTGTTGGAGAAAAAAATGAAGAACAAGAGAAGAAATGAGATTTAGATCTGGAAAAAGAATTTTGGAAGAGAGAAAGGAAGAAAGAGAAAAGAGAGAGGAAGAGAAAAGTCTGCTTTTTCTCTTTCCTCCATTAAAAGACAACACATATAAATGCTGGAAAAAATAAAAAAAGGAAAGAAATCAAATTTCAAAAATCGGACAAAAATGCCCTTCCTGACTCCACGTGCAGCCCAACAATATAATAATGTCATCCCTAGATCTACGGTCCGGATTTAATACTGATAGGTCAGTAACCAATGGTTACTGACCCTATCTGCTGCCCAAATAGCTGCTACGCACAGGCGCACAACTTCCATGTTGTTTTCAATCTCCTTTGTCATAATGGAAACAACTTCATCAGGGTGACATCACCTCACAAAAGCTTTTGGTGGACAGACCGTATTTCTCCTGGGCTTTAAGTCTGGTTGAGAGTGAGAGCAGCCCACTTGTATTTTTTCTATCAAGCTTCGACTTATCAAAATCCGACCCAAGAAGACTGCTGACTCAGGTCTGCCTTCAGTACCGCGAGACCCACGTCGGCCCAAGACGTTTGTATTTAATTAAATGGATTGAAGCATCGTGGGCTAGATTGGAGCGGTCTGAATTAGCATCAAGACTATTTTTCAGCCCATCAAAGATTGCCAATCATCAACCCTGCTTCCGTTGTAGAGAACAAACCCAAAAAAACAAATCCCTCCTTGACAAGCAGCGCCGCCCGGAGCTCTCTGTTGTTCGGTAGGGACTCAAGCCGTCCATCTCCCGGAGTCGTGTCACGCTCTGTCTTTAACCGCATCTTGTGGCTTCCATGGACCAAGTCGATATATGCCAGCATCAACTCCTTCCTTCATTCGTGCATTTTCAGTGGTGCATGGTGGGATTCAATTCCTCTAAGCACCGCTTGTTGATGGCCTCTAACTCCAACAACCAAAACTCATATGGAAGGGTTAGTAAAGATTTATTCAAAAGCTGACAATTAACCAACAAAAGGAATCTGTAACAATTAACTCGGCACTCAAGACAACCGATAATCATACAGGTCCCTTCTTCATCTAGGTTACGATGGATGAAGCTGGAGTTTGCGGCGAAGGGTTTCCAACTGGTGGAAGGCAATAATAATTGCTTCCAGACCCCTCCTTTCTTCCCACCGCAGGCATAGAAGCTTCCCTTGAGGAACAATCAAATGCACCGTAGAGGGAATTGAGGGCACGAAATTACTCCCTCCAATCGCCACTGTCTTATCAGACGTTGCTTGCGTCTCGATTACGATCTCCTTTGCGAAGCCAGATGCGATAACCTATTCGGACGGTTTGACAGTAATAGAGCTTCTTAAAATTGTTATAAACCGAACAGAAAAATTAGGGTTATCGATCTGGCTGAGTCGCGGACTAGGTCGCTCTCTTTAAGACGTTCACGGCACTGCCTCGTTATTCGCATAACAAACTATCAGCCGGTCACCTCCAGGATAAAACAGCCACTCTTTTGATTTGCTCAGCGGTTTTGTGCGAAAAACGGAGCTCCCTGAATCGCACTCTCTCTCATGTTTCTGCTCTCTGTGGTGTGTTTAGAGGGTCTAGGGCGTCTCCTATTTATAGGAGGAGAAAACCCAGAATATTCCCTCTTTCTTTGGGAATAAGTCACATTTTAATTAGGGAGATAATTACTCCCATAATTAAAATATAATATATTAAGATAATTATTCCTAATTATCTCCATAATATTCCTTATATTAATTATCCATCTTAATTTTGTATTATGGGAAAATACTGGATAATTAATTAGGAATTTCATTATAGCTTTTCAAAGCTATTCATCCCAACAGATGCTGCCACGGAGAGGCAACAACGGTTGACTGCGAAAGCGTAAAACCCTAGACAAGGATCGAGTTTCGCTTTGATACCATGTAGCAAACCAGTTGGTCCCAATAACTCGAGTTGTTGGGAGAAGGTTATGTTGAATCTTATACAGGCCCATGCATGGTATTTACCCACTTCCTTACACGCCCCCTCAAATGAAAGCCGACTCATGGAATTGAAGTTTGCACAAGCCCATCATACCATGTGATTGAAATACAACAATTAATATTGGGAGTCGTGAGGACTTGAACACGTGACCTCAAGGACAAACCATCTCTGATACCATGTAGAAATTGATAATGCGGAATATCGAAAGAACACAGAACACAGGATTTCACTTGGTATCCTCGATCGATTGATTGATCGAGACTAATTCACGGTGAGCTCAAAAGAGCTCACGACTGATGTTTTATTAAACGACTACATTGTGACGGCTTGCTTACCACAGACAGACGGTAGCTAAACTTTTATAGAGATAGACTTAGGGTTAAAATACTAATGACAACTAAGTTCCTTCTTTTACCGGGACAAGGAAACAATGGACTTGGAGGACAAGGAATTAATTACTTTTTGGCTAAGTAATTAATATCATCAACAATGGATTCGCCGGAAATAATAATCAGAACCCTAACTCGAATTGTGCCCTCTTTGCATGCGTGTTCCACTAGTCTGGGCGGAGAAGTAATGAGAGATGAAAACATTCCTGATTTTCTTTGATTGAAATGGAGGAGAGAAGAGGGGTTGGACGGATTCGAACGGAAGGAGGGAGAGGATGGGTCGAATGAAGGAGAAATGAGATTTGAGAAGGCTTCATGTTTTTCAATTGTAATGGAGGGGTCGGATGGAAAGAGAAAATTGGAATGGCGGAAAGAAGAGGAATCAGACGAGAAGAGGAAAATGGGGTCGGACGGCCAGAAGGGATTCCGCTGCCGCTGCCGTTGTTCGGTAAGATGGAGAGATGATGGGCCGGTTAAAACGAAGGAGAGAGAAGTGGTTGACCAAAATAAGAATGAGGTTTTATTAAGAGAGAGAGAGAGAGAGAGAGAGAGAGAGAGAGAGGTCAGGAGGAGCGCACGGAGTGTGGCCAGTTTCACGTGAGCTCGGGCCTGCCCAAAAGGTGATAACGGCTGGTTTTCAGGCTACCGTAGATTCGCCCACAGCAAAGCACCAAAATCCCATTGTGAAAAGTAACTCACGAAAATTTCGTGAGGATCCGTGCCCGGAATTTTTGGCTGCTTGCGCTGTTAGTTAATTAATTAATTATAATATCTGCACCGAGTGAAAATTGAAATCATACCATTTGTTTTTTTTAGGGATCTGAAATCATACAATTGTTCCTCTATCTAAGTTACCAAAAACGACACGATTAGGAGCATCGTGGAAGTTTAGAGATGATCAGAAAAGTGGTGCGGATACAACTGCCCACCAATGTCACTAAATCTCTGCCTTTTACACACCACCATATTATCAACATTCTTTCTACTTCCTTCTTCCCTCAATAACTAACAAGACCATGATCTGATTTGTTTCTTCAAGTTCTCGGAAGACGGTGTATATGCCCATGTAATACTATCTAAATGAGGTAAATCATACGTAAATGAAAATCACAATGAAAATACCTTCACTCTCGGTTCCTCTAGGCCCTTTCTCAATTTAATCACTTTAACCTCCACAAAAGCATGAAATCTCACAACGAGTAAATCAATCTTGTGCCTGGAAGTGTGCAGTCATGACTTCAAAGAAGAGTGAGAGAATTCCAGCCCTATTTGTGCTCTTGTTACCAATATGACAAACACGGCTAGTGTAGGTCAATGCAGTCAAAGTCTAGTTTCTATGTAAAAGCAAAATGATGGGTAAAAGCAGAAGCGCAAAAGTGAAACGTTAAAGTGTAACTTTCTAAAAATTCTATGAATTTTATAGATATTGTCTAACTATAAATAAATAGGTGGACTAACTCATATATTAAAGATCACTCTCACATGCATAAATTAAATTAATAGACTTTCAAATAATCATTCACTGTCTTCCTCCTACTTTCAAGAAGAAAATTTGAGAAGAGGAACCATCTGTAAATGATGAAGCTACAAGAGTAGTGGTTAAACTTCACCAATCTAATTCCTTTTCGCCGTCGCCGTGGAGGAATTTAGAGAAGGCAATTTGTAGTACTTTTGTGCCTCCCTGAAGGCCTTTTTGCCTCAATATCTGGCAACAACAAAATCGACGAGAAGAGAAATTGGGCCCTGATTTGTACAGAAGAAATACAACGGAGGGGAAGGCTCAAGAGGATGGGGTCGGACAGAGGTTTGGTTGGGTCATGGAGTGGGGTGACATGGCGGGCCAAATTTGGCTGATTAGGCGTTTTTGTTAGCGATGCCAGCAAGAAACTGAAGCCGTTAACGGAAACTAACGAAAAGTAACAGAGAATGTCCAAACATGAACCGTTGAATTAATTTTGGTGATCACGAATGGGATAAAATATTTGTAGTGCAAAACATGAATTTTTTAGTATTTCTAGTAACAAAACTTGCAATTTACCAATTCGGAATCTTATAGTCGATATGTTTGATATTCTAATTGGGAGATGTGCATTTAATTTCTAGTCATACCTCTTTCTCCGACTACAACCCTTCAACATTGGATTTTTTGGTTGAGTGAGAATACAATTTGGCAAAAGAGAATTGCTTAACTTAGGTCATGTACCAGCCCGTTTAAGCTCTAGTTAGGCTAAATTGCAAAAAGCAAAAACATAAATTCCTCAACGCCTATGCTTGAAACTTCAAACAATAGCTACTCATGCACTCTTCAGACATACACCACCATCAACCAAAAGGTTCAACCCACAAATATACTTTGACTCATCACTCACCATATTGAGTGCCACCTCCGCGACTTCCTCAGCTCTCATCAATTTCAGATGATCCGGCAGTACCCTTTTCTTATATGCCTCCTCGTCGCATCCTGCGAATTCCGCAGCCATAGGAGTCATCACTGCATACGGTGAAATGCAATTCACACGGATCCCAAACTGCCCGAGCTCCACGCACAGGTTCTTTGTCAGGCCTACCACCGCGTGCTTCGACGCGGTGTAGTTGTGCGGTGCCAGACCATAGCTAGCCGTCACCGCACTCCCCGTGAAGAGGATGGTCCCACTACACTTCGGGACCATCACCCTGGCAACATGCTTGGCTGCCAGGAATGATCCATACACGTTGACATCAAACACCTTCCGGAACACCTGGGGATCAATCGACAATATCCCTGGTGCTCGGTCTTTGTTGAAGAACTCGAACCTTTCGCCTGCTATCCCGGCATTGCTATACATGATGTCCAGCTTGCCGTGCATTGAAACGACGGCGTCGACTGCGTTCAGCATGTCCAAGTCGCTTGAAACGTCACATTCGACGAAGGACACAGGCTGGCCCGACTCCGACTGGATCTCAGTGGCCACAGAGTTGCCCAATTCGGATCGGATATCGGCTATCAGGACTTTGGCACCGTGCTGGGAGAAGAGCCTTGCGGCCGCGGCACCGATGCCTCTGGCTCCGCCAGTTATGAGCGCTACTTTGCCTTGTAATCTTTTCGCCATGGCTTGGTTGATGTGTCGAAGGGGAAATCAAGAGCTCTTATTTAAAGTAATCCAATTCCCTTTGCACTTCCTATATATGCTCGATTCAAATAATGGATGTTGCATGTTACCTGCTACGTTGCCCATTTTTCAATTCCTTTTTGCTCTTCCTATGATCTTAATTATATATATAAAGTTTTAATTTAAAGTACGGATTCTACCGTTACATTTGACTAGATCCACTATAGCCGCTCACTTCATCTAGAGTCCATTGTGCATTGTGCATTGTGCACTGTGCAAAGTGCAAACCTATCTCCTTGATTGAATATATATATTTTTAATGAAGTATTATTTACGTCCATTGCAGCTCGACCATGAAGTCAAGTAGTCAATGCAAGCGCAACTCTCAACTTGAATATAGTGACGATATTCAGAGACAGACGTCATTTCCCCAGTCCTGCAAAGCACGATCGATGCCAATTATCAGTCGTAACAAGTGTAAGTGATCGTTCGATCGTTAGCATCCCAACTATCCTAGCCCTAGGTGCATTTGAAATCTAATTGCACAATAGCTGAAATGGACAGTAATTAATTGCCTCTCCCTTGTGCGGTGAAAAACAGCAAATTCTTAAGTGTCTAGATACAAATTTTACAGTCCATCAAATACACTTCATATCACTCTGCTATCACTCTTTATGAAGCCTGTGTGGTAGTAAATTTCAGGGAGTGGATAGGGTGACTATGACTCGACTCACTACAGCTTTTCCAAATGAATGCCAAGTTTAATCAATGATCGAATGTAGTATAGGGTAAGTAAGTGTTAAAATTATCGAATCACGGGTCTTTAGATGTATCTTAGTTCAAGTTAAGTTTTGTTATCTAGCCAACCTAAAATGGTCATTAAGAAACTAATCCAACTACACTAACCTAACCACTACCCTAGCTAATTAAAAGTTATGGAGGTCTCTTAGCTTGAATCCCCCCAGTTCCATAATTTGGACCGATGTTGCATACCATCCTAGCTAAATCGACTCAATTCCTCTACTAATAAGAGATCGACTCCCTCGGGAATGACCCAGAAACATGATTATCTCCCTCATATGTCAAAAATTCATTTGACATGTAAAACTTATACAATTCATGATAAACATCCATCTGTCGCAATATCTACTCCTGCTAATAGTTTAGCCCATTCTTTGTTGTTACGATGGCCACTAAATGAGATGAGCAATCATGACCTAGGGTTCATCAATCTAAGAGAAGAGGTCTAATTCATAGATAAGATGAGAGGGATTACAATACAAAACACAAATTCTTACATCTTCTTCTTACAGAGGATGATCTTCAACCTCTTAGGTCCCTTTCTCTCTAGAAATACCTCTTTGGTGTTTTGGTCGAAACCCGAAAGAAAAACCAAGCTCCCCTTCTTCTTTCCGCAACTGTTCTCGACCGTGATATAGCAAGAAAACGATGATCTCAGCTGAAAGTGTACCATTTTTTTGTTGCTAAAATAACGATTTTTTTTGTTATTATCACGGTATGTTATAGTGATCCTTGCAAAGCCCGCGAGCAATACGAAGCTTCCTGGATAATTGCAAACTTCACGGCTTTGTTGTGATTTTCACTTCTTAGGGCGTGATCCTAATACTTAACCCGTGATCCTTGCACATACTCCACTTTTTGGCTCGTTTTGACTTGCGAATGTTTCGAAACTAGTCCCCGGCCTTCCCACAAGTATTAGAACCTGAAATGTGACCAAAATAGCACAAACTTGCGTAAAAGAGGTCAAGGAATGACGATTACCAAGTGAAACACTCTATATATATTACTTATTATTTATATACGTAAGCCAAATGTTGATAACCCTCCTACGATTTCTATTTACCAAGTGAAAATTATTTTGCGATAATTTTCCAAACGTCAGAGCAGAACTAATATTTTTGTCACACTTGTATACGACAAAAGTGATGGTTTTGCCGACATTTATAAAAATTGTCACAAAAAGCAATGTCGCTATAGACATTATTTTTGTTGTTTATATGTTAATGCATCAAACCATATATTGTTGATAAGCAAGTCACATTATGGGAAAATGTAAAATTTACCCTCAACTTTTAGTATAAGATAAAAATTAATAGGGATAGAAATGCAAAGAAAAAGTGGACACAAATCTAAAATCAACAATCTCAAGTTTTAGTTGAGATTGTATAATGCATTATTTTTTGTGATTGTTGGTGGGACCTACCTAAAACAATACATGCATTGTTTTACAGTTTGGCATTTCAAAACATTGTATTATGTACAATGCATGTATTCAATAAACACAACTCTAACAATCATAACTACCAAACGACCCCTAAGTTAATTTTGGCTTGACAGTTCAAAATTAAAGGTTTTCGGGTATATGGTAGGACTTTATGTTCTATGATATAGGGTTAAAGTATAGAGTATAGGGTATATATTATTGGTTACGATTATAATTCAAGTCACAACAACATATACTAACTTAATATTGGATTTGGATTGAGGGTTATGATTAGAAGTGTAGTTGAGGAACTTCTCAAGCAAAAAATGATTTTCCTACCCAACTCTTCCACGTATCTCTGGCTGCTCTTCACTAGCGCTCCATTTAACTGTCCAGCTTCCTATTTAAATTGTCAGATGCAGATGCAATTCAGCTCTTCCTATTTGTATACGGATTTCCAATTTTCCGACAGAGATTACATCCAATGAAGGATTAGATCGAGTTCCAAGTGTCCTAGGGCGTCCAATGTGTACGAACAAATCGACTACAGACAAAGGAAAGTTGGAATTGTACATATCTGTGTAGAGGTTGTGGATGCTACAAAGAGGGTTACCAAGTTGAGTGTTACACCATATAGGTTACATGAACTATTTGTTGATGTGTAATATTGTCATATGCCACGAGTGTGCGAAAAGTGTAAATGTTTCGGCCATGACTGTGCGCTACCTACAGGTCCTAGAGAAAGGACGTGGGCTGTAAAAACCCCGGTTCTAGGAGAGGTAGCTAAGACTACGACCAAGGAAGATGCTCTAGTTGATGGGGTGGCTCAGGAAAAGTGTAAGGAACTTGTACAAGAAGTGGTAGTGGGGACTCTAGGGCAAGAACTAGCTCCTAAAGTTGCTAATACTCCATCTCCAAGGGTGGGACTAACAGATCATGAGGGGTTTACTCTGGTGGTGAACAAAAGAGAGAGGGCGAGGGTTGGGTCCGCATTGAGTAGTGGGAATCATCAGAGTACACATATTGTTGGCCTGCGCGCAAGCACACCCGGTGAGTAGGCTAGTGCTACTTAATGAAAGATCATTCCAAAACTTAGCAAGAAATCGTTTAGGGGGACAGTTTGGGGGGGACAGTTGTGGCTCCACCTTATCCACCTCCTAAAGGGATAGGTTGTAAAAGAGGTAAATGAAACTCCTCATTCATCCAGAATATGAGGAGTTCCAATGCCCCTAAAGGCATGTTAGGAACTAGAGTAGTAGAAGCCAATAGTATGGCAATAATAACATGTGTTTTATTATTATTATTATTATTATTATTATTATTATTATTATGCCTCGAAGCAATTAGATAACTATTCCAAGTCAAAATCAAGGAGAGTTTGGATCTTTTGGAGAGCAGTTTTGAAAGTCACTCTACTAGAATAAGGTGAGCACTACCTGAAGATATTGGTAGAAGATCAAATCCCTTTCATAGTGATGTTTGTGTATAGTCCTAACAAGGAAGCATATAGGAAACTTTTGTATCGGGAGTTGCTTTTAAGGATGGACAGCAATGTGCCAATGGCTATCCTTGAAGACTCCGTTGCCATAGCTGAGTTGAATGAGGCATCCAACTCACAAGTTATAACACAGAGTATGGTTAATTTTAGAAACTGATCCTAGAATGAAGACATTATACCAAAGCCATTTAAGTACTTTGTTTCTGACAGTCGTATCCAACATACCTGAGCATTATTCAAAGAAGCCTGGAAGAAAGAAGTAAACGGTTATCCTCATTATATTCTCTATGCCAGGTGGTAGAATGTGAGGATGGGGCTTATAAAAAGATTAATAGAGAAGTGTATTTAGATATTTCTGAGAGGGTAAAAGAGGTTATTGCAGTAGTGGAGGCTACTCGGCATGCAATGTTGACTAACCCTAAAGCTGAGCTGATAGAAGAAGGAAAGAAGTTAGGGCTGGAATGTATGGAACTACGCAAGGAATAGTAGTCTAATATTAAGCAGAAGCATCGAATCTAGACTATACATGAGGGTGATGCTAAATTGAGTGGCGGATCAAGAAAGTTTACATAGGCGTCATCTTCCAAAAATTAAATTAAATTAAAAATTAAATATAAAATTTAATAATTATCCAACTAGTAAAAGTTACAATAAAAATTAAATCATGTTTCATATTATGAAAAAGGGTAAAATAAATTCAGTGCCTACTATAGGCTGGTTATTTGGTCCGTACTGTTTGGTTTTACCCAAAACCGGAGAGTATAACCCGGACCGGGACCGGATAGCAAACAATCCAATCTCATATTCGGGCTTAGATTTGAGGTAAAAAATCGTTTGGGACCGGATCGAAAATAGGATAAAGACCGGATAAGAGACTCCAACACCCAAAACTTAACCAACTCCTCAACCTTTGAGGCCTCAGGCCACTCAAATCCCCCCAAGCTCAATCTAACATCAAGACCAAATTGGGACCAGACCGGATCAAGACTGGACTGTATCCAATCCAATCTTTGGTCCTTATATTCCCGAAAAGACTGGATCACGACCGGGTCAATTCGGGCCAATTTAACCGGACCGGGCCGTATAGCCACTCCTATTGTCTACACTGCTCAACAAATATCTATGGACATATCCTAATAGACAAGAGTAGCCCGTAATTGGATGTAATCTTCAAGTTTTGAAAATAATTGGAGATAAGAATAGTTTTTTACTATTATATTTCGATCTAAAAACAAAACAACAAAGTCTAATTAAACAGATGTTTACTAATAGTTGCATTACCGTCACAAGTTCAAATCACATAGACTACCACATAAATATTATATGTACTCATACACAAATTACTATAGGAAGTTGAATAATGATTTTTCCACATTTTAAGGGTGTCCTGCTACCACTTATATATTTGGGTTAATATTTTCGTATGGTCTGAACATTAACCAAAATAAACATCCTGGCCAATCTTTTCGATCTATAACATCCTTGTCCGAACTATACACCAAAATAAACAATTTTCCCAAATCCGACTTTTGACCGTTAACTTGGACGGTCAAACGCGTTGACCGTTAGTCAACGCGCCATGTCACTGCCAAGTCAGCATAAAATATTTAAAATAATTCACAATTTCCACACATTCTCTAATTTTAAATTATTATAAATTAAAATAAATCATCTAATACCTTAGTTAAACCAAAAATAAAAATGAAACAAATTAAATATTTATAAGATCTTCTTACTTAGCAGTGACGTGGCGCGTTAACCGTCCAAGTTAACGGTCAAACATCGGGTTTGACCAAATTGTTTATTTTGGTGTATAGTTCGGGCCAGGATGTTATAGATCGAAAAGATTGGCCAGGATGTTTATTTTGGTCAAAGTTCAGGCCATACGAAAATATTAACCCTAAATTTTTTTTTTACGTATACACAAATTGCTATTGGAGGTTAGACAATCATTTTCCTAAAATTTAAACATACATGTATCCGCCACTGATGCTAATACTTCCCTTTTTTCACAAAACTGCCTGTATTAGAACTCAAATGCAGCAGAGAATAGAATAAATAACATCTAACGATTTCAGAAGGGTTTTTTTGCTCCGGAAATAACGGAGGAAAGAAAGCGATTGGCCTGCTAGGGTTTTGAGCGGACACGATGACGGTGAGCTCGACTGCTCCAACGCAGGGACTCGAGAAGCCACCTGACAGTGCTGGGGGCCTTCGACTACCCGCGGAAAACTCATCCTCTCCGAATGGGAAGAGTGAGAGGGAAGCTACACAAGCAAAAAAGAGGGTTAGACTACTGAACTTGGATAAGGAAAACAATGACGGAAGGAAAAGTAAGGATACTGAGATGGAGACTGACGCAACGATTCCGAAAGACAGAGCGGCAGGGGCGACGGGGCAAGGACGGTGGTTCAGCGATGTCCTGAAAAAGACACATGGTACGTCGAAGATTCAGACACTGAGGATGTAGCAATGGCTGAAAAGTAGGAGGACGATATTATTGATGAGGACAACTATGACCCGAAGTGCCCGTCAATCCTATTTACGGTGGCCGAGAAGATAAAGTTGCGGAGAGAATGGAGATCAGCACTCGTGGTAAAGGGGCTAGGTCGACGTGTCTCGTTCATCCCACTGTCTCATCGCCTGAACTCGTTATGGGCTAAGCATGGGGAGATCCAGATCTTAGACATGAAGAATGGGTGCTTCTTGGTGAGATTCCGAAGCCAAAAAAATTATGAGTATGCAACGATGGGTGGCCATGGATGCTGGGTGATACATATTTGACGGTACATAGATGGTTTAAATGTTTTAACCCATGGAAGACGGTGGTGACATCGACGATGGTGTGGGTACAACTACCAGAGCTCCCGATTGAGTTCATTAACAAGGAGGTGGTGATGCGCATAATAGAAGCTATTGGGAAGCCGGTTCGAGTTGATAGGGCGACGAAGTTGGGAGCTAGGGGGAAGTTTGCTCGGGTTTGTGTTGAGGCAGATCTAACCCAGCCATTACTTGGTAAGTACAAAGTGGAGGGGGTGACTTATATCATACAATATGAGGGACTTGAATCTATTTGTACCAATTGTGGCAGCTATGGCAAATCGACCGAGGCATGCCAATGTACGAAACAACAGGACATGGTGGAAGAGGAAGGGATAGCGGTGGGAGAAGAAAAACCACTGGACCCCACGCAAGGACAATCATATGGGGAGTGGATGGTTGTAAAACGGAGGGAGCTCTGGCAGACAAAACGTACTGGTGGCGGGAACAGTAGGGAGTCAAAAGGATCAGGAAATCGCTTCCATGTTTTGGATGGGAGGAATGCGGGGGAGAGCTTGGATGAGCAAGATGATAGGGATGAAGAGAAAACCTATCAGACTGGGGAAGGACAACAATCAGCCCATGTCGACCATGCAGACCATGCACGTGAGCTGAAAACCTCGGAAAAAACCACTACCCAAATAGATCACCCGCAAGCTAGTAAGAAGAAGGGTTCGGATTTGGGGAGAAACCAGAAGACGGGATGGAGCCAGGAGGAGGTCCGGAAAAATACTAATAATGTGGGACAAAAATGCACCCAGCAGCTCAGAAGCAAGTGAGCAAAGGGAAGGGTATTTTGGAAGGAGTTGAGAAAGATGACTTGGGGAAGTCGAAGCCACCTGGTTGAGGAAAGACAAGAGGTGGAGGTGAGGTGGATAGGAGTGGGAGTTCGAAGAAACACAATAACCAAACAGATGGCGCGGGGGACCTATCCCCTCCGGGTAATAGATGAGACTTTTAAGCTATAACTGTCGTGGATTGGGAAACCAACATGCAGTTAGAGCTCTTAAGTTGCTACTGCGACAGGTTTCCCCACATGTTGTGTTTCTTATGGAGACGCGACAGTTAGTTGATGAAAATGAGGAGACGAGGAAGAGTTTGGATTTTTCTTCAGGAGAGAGCTGGGCGTGTGACGTTTCTCGAGGAGGGAGGGCTGGAGGCCTGAGCATTTGGTGGACGGACGAGATTAAATTGTCTATTATGGGGGGTGACTCCCATTATCTTGATATGAAGGTAGAGGAAGCGCAGGGAACGATATGGAGGTTTATAGACATATACGGATGGCCGGAGGGGAGTGAGAAGCACCATACTTGGGAGCTCTTGGAGTCCTTAGCGAGACAATGGTCAGGACCATGGCTATGCGGAGGCGACTTTAACCAAATCACTAATAATTTCGAAAAGAAGGGAGGTAATTTGGTGGCGGAGAATTAGATGCTAGCTTTTACAGATTGTTTGGCGGAAATTGGACTTCAGGACTTGGGCTTCCAGGGCCACCCTTTTACGTGGGAGAACATGAGGCGAATTGGGGGGGGGGGGGTACATTGAAGAGCGTCTGGATCTTTTTGTGGCCAACGATCAATGGAAGGAGAATTGGGTAAATGCACGAGTCTTGCACCTTGAAGCGACCAGGTCTAACCACCGCCCGATTGTTTGTGACACGTTGGGGGAGGAGGATGAGGCGATAAAATGGGGGTGGTCTTTCAGGTTTGAGGCTCAATGGGGAAGCATGGTGACTGTGCCAAAAAGGTGGAGGAGGCATGGACCTCCGAACCAGGAGATTCTCCAAATTCAATAGAATGCGGGAGAAGCTGGACGACTGGAGTAGAGTAGATTTTCCAGACTTTCGCAAACAGAAGGATAAGATCAAGCACAAGCGGGCCCTGAAGGCACTAGAGAGGAGGGAAAAGACAGAGGCAGTTCTTAACCAGCGAGACCAATTACTGATGGAGTTGGACGAGATTGAAATCGACGAATAACTGTTCTGGCTTTAGAGGGCGTGAACAGAATGGCTCCGTGAGGGTGATAAAAATACCAATTTTTTCCATCGGAAGGCCACTGCGAGAAGGCGGAGGAACACCATTAAGAAGCTAAGGGACGAGAGTGGCGCCTGGTGGAGTGGAACTAACCAAGTGTCTACTTGTTTACGTACCTATTTTCCCACCCTGTTCACAGCAGGAAGTCGGCCGCGCGAGCACACCAATCCTTGACTCCCTTGAGCGTCGGGTTGGGCAGGACGAGAATGACATGCTAACTCGGCCGCTAACTAAGGAGGAGATTTTTACAGCTCTTAAGCATATGGGAAAGAGGAGGGCGCCGGGGGAGGACGGGTTCTCGGTCCTTTTCTTTGTGCAGTATTGGAGTATCATTGGTGATGAGGTAATAACAATGTTTGTCAATGTATTTGACAGTGGGAAAATGCCGACAGGTCTAAACCATACCCTAATAGCACTCATACCGAAGGTTAAAGAACTGCAGATGGCGAAAGAATTCGTTCGATCAGTTTATGCAACATGTTGTACAAGCTTCTCGCGAAGGAACTTACGAACAAATTGAAAGGGATTCTGGAGACGGTAATCTCACCGGAACAGAGTGCTTTTATCCCGGGTAGATATATTGCAGATAATGTGATGGCTGCTTTTGAGTGTTTCCAAACGATGAAGCAGAAATCGAAGGCTAAGACAGGTTATTTTGCAGCTAAAACAGATATGGCTAAAGCCTATGATAGAGTCGAGTGGTGGTTCTTGGAGGAGGCTATGCGGCGCATGGGTTTTACTGATCGATGGGTCCAATTGATAATGTTGTGTGTAACCTCAGTAACATACACAGTGTTAGTTAACGGACAACGGTCAGAGACTTTTGTGCCCAGGAGGGGCCTCCGCCAAGGGGACCCTTTGTCACCATACCTCTTTTTGATGGTGGCGGAGGGGCTATCTTCCTACACAGCAAAATCAGCCAAAGAGAAGCGCCTACATGGGCTCGTTGTGGCTAGGGGAGCCCCAATGGTCTCCCACCTATTTTTCACTGACGATTATATATTTTTTGCTAGGGCCACCGTTTAGGAAAGCATGGAACTCAGGCAAATCCTTAAGGCCTATGAGCAATAGTCAGGACAGCTGGTAAGCTTGGAGAAATCACAAGTTACTTTTGGAGCTAATGTTAAGCCCCATCAGAGGCTGCAGGTGAACGCTATCCTAAGGATGCGTACAGTGGAGAAACACGATAAATACTTGGGATTGGCGACGTAAGTTGGAAGATCGAAGAAGGAACTCTTTACTTACTTGAAGGAGAGAGTTCGCAAGAAGCTCTCGGGCTGGAAAGAGAAGACTATGTCAGCGGCAGCGAGGGAAGTATTAATTAAGTCAGTGGCTCAGGCGCAGCTGACATATACCATGTCAGTGTTCGAGATCCCGGAGGGAATTATTGATGAGATCCACTCGTTGATTACAAGGTTTTGGTGGGGACAAAAGGGGAAAGAATAACGAATCCCTTGGATTGCACGCGAGGCTCTAATCTGCCCGAAGGCAGAGGGGGCATGGGGTTCATGGACTTACGGGGATTCAACACGTCGTTGCTGGCTAGACAGCTGTGGAGTCTACATCATCGGCCGACTTCCCTTATCGCCCGGCTCCTAAAGGCTAAGTATCACAAGAAAACGTCGGTCCTCGATGCAGAAGTAGGATATCGGCCTAGTTATGTATGGAGGAGCTTGATGAGTACTCAAGACTTTTTGGTTGATGGGCTCTGATGGAGGATAGGAAATGGAGTATCTGTTCGGGTATGGGGAGATCGGTGGCTGCTATTGGTGGCAGGTTTTATAGTACAATCTGCGCCGCGGGGGTTGCCGGTGGACGCTGTGGTAAAGACCTGATCGACGAGGAGCTGGAGAGGTGGGATGCGACGGTGATGAGAGCTGTTTTCCTTCGGAGATGGTGGAGGAGATAAGGAAGATACAACTACGTGGAGCTGGGAAAGCAGATAGATTGATTTGTGCTTCAAGCCGAGATGGGAATTATGTTATGCGAGAAGGGTATAGGACGTAGCTGGAGAATTATCGCATGGAGAAGGGGCTAGGAATGGTGGGAAACTCGACGAATTGGAACCGAATTCGGTCCATGAATGTTCCCTCGAAGGCCCATGTTTTCATGTGGCGGTTCACTAGAGACTCCATGGCGACGGGCGACCATTTGAGTGCACGAAGTCGGCGGCGTGGAGACGCCTGCCCATTCTGTAATGCAAGAGAGACACAGGTGCACCTTTTTCGGAGTGTGGATGGACGAGTAGACTTTGGTGTACTTCCCACATTCAACATTGCTTCGAGCTGCGGGGAACGCGGAGCTGTATGGAATGGGTTGACAAGGTGGCGGAGACGGTGACAGAGAAGGAGATTTAGGAGTGGTGTATGCTTTTATGGATTCTTTGGAAGGAACGCAATGCTCATCGTTTTAATGGCACCAAAATGGCAGAGGAGGACATTTTACCAAGAGCCTTCTCTCTTCTTGAAGAGTTTCGGCATCATCAGATGAGGGAGGAGGAGGTCCCGGGTAATGCACCTGTTCGGCAGTGGTCGCGCCCGGATGTGGGAATGGTGAAGGTGAATACAGATTTTGGGTATTTTGATATTGGCTATGGGTTAGGAGTGGTGATACAAGACCACGCTGGGAATTTTCTTCTAGCAGCAGCAAAGAAGTCGAAGGGAAAGATGGAACCGGAGATGGGCGAAGTGCTGGCGACGGAGTTCGGGATGCAGCTTGTCCGACAACACCAGCTTGGGAGACCGCTCTTGGAGTTGGACAGTCTGACGGTGATTAAGTATATAAGGGAAGCTGGGAATATTCATACAGAGCTGGGAATTATTTGTCGGAATATACAGCGCTTGCTGGAAAGTGACGATCGAGGTACGACAAGACATGTTAAACGAGAGGCTAATAAGGCGGCACATATCATGGAACATAGTAATACTAGATGGGGTGAGGCGGAGGTCTGGTTTGATCGCCCACTGATTCTTTTGATTGATCAGCTTAGTATAGATAATGTAACAGCTTCGTCTGATTAATAAAGCATCATGCAGATTCCTATAAAAAAAGAACTCAAATGCAACAAATTGCTAGAATGATCGCCTCTCATGGGAAGGTTTTTTCTGATGTGGGGAATATAAAAGTGGCGGTATACCGGCTGTAATCAGATCCGCCAGTTAGCTGCTTATCTCTACAACCGAAGATGTAAAACAATGTGGTTGAGGGAGGCAGAGCCACCCTATCTCTTCAACCCTTTACTTGCCTGTCTTGCAATTGTGTCTGCTCTTTCTGTGTCTTCTTCAACAACCTAATCCCAAGTCAACCAGCAAGAGATGTTGACGCCAATCACCAGCAGCAGTACTCGACCACTCACCAGTCGGTGTCAAAGCCCCATCAGTCCACCATCAATTTTGAGAGAGCGAAAATTTCTGGAGGGTTTGTGTTGGCGGAGAGACAAGAAGAACAGAGAAAAGTCAACGAAATATTTAAAAAAAATCATCTCGTCGTCACCAATCACCGACGACAATGGATCTTTTTCTCTCACCGGTCGATCTCAGCTCTACACCCGCCGTTGACGCCTGCTCACCGTCGATCTCTGTAACTAGCTCCCTAAGTTTCAATTACTGCTTCTATTCTCTTACTCTCATCAAGTAGAGCATCAGAAGCATGAAGCCACCAACAGAAGACAGCAGTCAGCAGCAGCCCAGCACCCAGTAGGGGAGCAAAAGAAACCAACAACAACAAGCCAACAGGTAACACAACATCAAGGGAAGGGTTTGATAAAACATGTAACCCTCGGCAGTCGGCTCTAATGGTATTATGTGATGAAAGTAATCCGCCAATTCACATGCTACCCTACAAGCTCTACAATTATGAGCATCCATCAACCAACTACCCTACAATAATTAACTTAAAATAATTGAAGTAAAGCTATCCATATGCTAAACCTACCCACCATAATAATAATAAAAAAAAAGAATTGGCCACAAGTTCAATCGGTTACCAGACAAGCTAAGGTGGCAAAATAAATAGCCACTAGCACCTTCACTTATTGGCTTTGGAGTGTCTTGTAATGGTTGTACAAATAGCCTCAATTGGAGGCAATGTAAGCATCAGAGAGCAGAAGAGCTATAATAGCATATATGTTATGAGCTCTTTGTAAAGGCAACAATTGCCTAATTGTGTGAGATATTAGAGTGAAATAATTTCCTCTGATATTTTCGATCCTAAACCCACTACATATTTCCGCTATGCCCCAACAAATTTGGTATCAGAGCCGATACCACTATCCTATCCTCCTATTTTTTTCCCCTATCCTCCTAGACCATCCTCATATTTCCTAACCACAAAATACCCATTCAAAAAAATATCCCAAAAAAAATTCAGGGCAGCAGTCCAGGCGAACACAATGTTCGTAAATACCCCCAGTCAAATTCCCATATTCGAGGGTGAACTCTAAGAGTACTGGAGCGAACAAATTGAGACAATCTTCATTGCTCAAGACTTGTGGGAAATCGTCCAAGAAGGTTATGAGGAAGTTAAGACGATGGAAGAATCTGGCAAAATGTCAGAAGCAAAGTTCAAGCAATACAAGGTGAATGTCCGGAGGAACGCCAACGCCCTACGAATAATTCAAGAGACGGTCAGCAAGGATATATATCCTCGAATTTTTGGCATTAGAAATGCTAAAAGGCGTGGGAAGTTTTGCAGAATGAATTTTGAGGCAACCATTGGGTAATCTGCATCAAACGCAAAAATTTATGGCGTGATTTCGACAACCTGTCGATGAAGGAGACTGAAAGTATCCAAGACTTTCATTCTCGTATAGCAGAAATAATCAACCAGATCAAAGCAACTAGTGACATCATGGAAGAAAGGAATATTGTGGAGAGAATTCTCCGCAGTTTATCTCCAAAATTTGAGCATGCCTAATTGTGTAAGATATCAGAGGAGACAAAAGATTTGTCTAAATTACCAATGAGTGAATTGATGGGTTCACTATTCGCTCATGAGCAGAGGATGAGGAAATTTACCGATCAACCACTGGAGCAAGTTTTTCAGCCAACAGTCAACATGGCCGAAGCCAAGACTACCAAGCCGGAGCAAGACCGTAGAGGAAAATCTGACGGCAACAACAACAGGTACTGCATTATCTGTCAGAAGACAGGACACACGGGTAAATTTTGCAAGTTCAAGTGCCAAACGTGCAGGAACCCAAATCACTCCCAAAGGGATTGTTGGTTCGAGAAGAAACAAGAAGATGATCAAGAAGATGAAGAAGCAAACTTCACTAAAGATGAAGAGATCAATCATATTTCACTCTCGTGCGTCAAGGGTGATAAAAATTCGCAACTGTGAATTGCGGATTAAGAGGGGGTGATGAAAGTAATGCTCCAATTCACATGCCTAATTGTGTAAGATATTAGAGTGAAATAATTTCCTCTGATATTTTTGATCCTAGACCCACTACATATTTCCGCTGTGCCCAAACATTATGCTCTCTTTCTCTTGCATGCCTTGCGATTCCTGATTTTCTTTCTCCACCCTCTCTAGAAACTTGGAGACGGCAAAGCTAAAGAAGCTGACTACAGATTCATCATCAATCTTGGGAAAGGGGAGATGGCATAATTGAAGGAGTAGTGGACGGGTCAGATTTGTTTGGTAGAGATGGAAGCTAAAGAGTAAAGTAAAAGAAGCAAGCTAAGAAGGCATAGAGGCACTAAGAGTACACTAAAGGGGTTAGAGAGAGAAATATTGAGGCTTGTCTTCTCTTTCTTTAGATTTGTTGACCTTGAGCAGCAACACGCTAACCGGACTACTAACCAACCGATAATCGATAAATAAGTTACTCGGTTAATTGATTGTCACCCAGTACTGGTACCTTATTGGGGATAAATCAATATACATCTAATGTCGAATCGGGAATCAACTAGGACATAAGTAAAGCATTGGGTCGAACTGGTAGTGGCTTCGCACTAGTCGATGTACTAATAACTGGCTAACCGATAATCGACCGATTACCACCCCTGCCTGATCCTATTATCCATCCATAGAGAGTCCAATCATACTTGTAGCCCATTCCAACCGCTCCTGAGACAGATATTCCAATGGAAGCCCCCATATCCAAACCAAATTGGGAAAGCCTCCACCATAGGGACGATCGTTGAATATAAAGTCTCCATGTTTCAACAAAATTTTAGTTTCAACTATAATGCCAAGGACCCCAATGAATACCCAATCACACAAGGAGAAGACAAAGACAAAGACGAGAGTTGAAACCAGAAGTTTAGAACCAAATATAGATACTCATACCATTCCATCCCTCCCCACACAAGATTATCCCATGACTGAAACTCCATAATCTTGGTCTATAACCCAGAAATTGCTCGAGCAGTGAGTTTTCCATCGTTCTATACCCTATTCCTTAACTTCTTTAGGGAAACGAAATCCTTCCTTGATCTTCTCCTATGGAGGATGGAGCTTCTTCAGAGCCACAAAGAACAACTACGCCTATGAATTATGATGATCGTACTCTAGTCGGCCGAGACTTTGATTGTGGGGCAGGCATCGAAGAAACCATGGCAGTTCACACCAGTGGACAGAAAGTAGAGAAAGAAGAGACGAAATAAAATACTCTTTTATTTTTTTTCGTTTTCAAATAATACAAATGAAAGAAAATATGTCATGAAAAAATTAAAATTGATAAGGATAATATTGTATTGTCAAAACAGCTTTTTGTTGAGTTCCAAATCCGAGCTTATACTTTTATGCTATCAAAAGCACTTTTCAGCTCTTTCAAAAGCGAAGTTTATAGAAGTATTTGGCCCGGCTTCAAATTTTAGCACATAAAATACATCTTAGAGTCGGACGAGACAAAGATTCATGGAAGGATTTATTTGCTTATTATTTTTTTTTAAAATTTCACGTTCCGTATATAGTTAGGAAAATCGGTAAGGGTTGAGTAGGGATGGCTGTAGAACCGAATCCGCGAGTACCCTACCTGACCCAACCCAGACAACGCGAGTAAAATTCGTTTTGACGGATTGCGGGTCGATTTTGGGTTTAAACCCGCTGTACTATTTGGGGAGTTGGATTGGATTTGGGTTTAGCCATATCTAACCCGCGGATACCCGCACCCAAGTCCATACCCCACGACCCAAGTAACTCTTAACAAATTAACAATAATTTCTAAACTAATTCCGCACACGTTCAAATAGTCATATTGTTTGTGGATATTTATCTTTAACTGAACAATTAGTATGAATGATTTGTGAGTTAGTGTGTATGTAGTAGACAATAGTAGTGAAAACTAATATTTTTGCATCTTTGTACATGAACTCATTGGTACCCATGAACCCGCGGATCCCCAGTGGGTTTGGTCGGGTTTGATTTTTTCAAACCTGATGATTAAACCCAATTACGGGCTACTCTTGTCTAGTAGGATATGCCAAGAGATATTTGTTGAGCAGTGTAGACACTAGGAGTGGCTATACGGCCCGGTCCGGTTAAATTGGCCTGAATTGATCCGGTCTCGATCCGGTCTTTTCGGGAATATAAGGACCAAAGATTGGATTGGATACAGTCCGGTCTTGACCCGATCCGGTCCCAATTTGGTCTTAACTTTAGATTGAGCTTGTGGGGATTTGAGTGGCCTGAGGCCGCAAAGGTTGAGGAGTTGGTTAAGTTTTGGGTGTTGGGGTCTCTTATCCGGTCTTTATCCGGTTTTCGATCCGGTCCCAAACGATTGTTTGCTATCCGATCCCGGTCCAGGTTATACGGTCCGGTTTCGGGTAAAACCAAACAGTCCGGACCAAATAGCCAGCCCTAGTAGACACTGAATTTATTTTACCCTTTTTCATAATACGAAACATGTCTGAATTTTTATTGTAACTTTTACTAGTTGGATAATTATTAAGTTTTATATTTCATTTTTAATAATAATTTAATTTGTAATTTAATTTAAGTTTTGGAAGATGACACCCCTATATAAACTTTTTGGATCCGCCACTGCAATCAGTAAAGGAAACAAAAAAAAAGT